AATTTTGCAAGTATAAGCATTTGCTTACTTTTATTCATACGGGCCAATGAACCTGCAAATAACAGGGAAATACCTGGGTATGTGTGTCGACGCTAACCTCAACTGGAAATGCCACTGCCTGTGTTTAATCAAAAAACTTACCTGCTGTTGGCTAATTCGCTTTATCAAACAATTTATTGGGTTACATTATACGCTCTCCTACAACTATGCCGAGGTTCAGTCGAGATTGCGTAATGGGATTATTTTCTGGGCATCGTCTACATACGCATCAAAAGTGTTTATGGTGCAAAAGGGAATACTGGGCTGCTTGGTGGGTATTAAGAAATGGGAATCATGCAAAACCCACTTTATTCAGCTTGGTTTTCTCACTTCTCATTTTCGTACTTGAGGTTTTACTGTACATATACAAAAATCAACATAAGTTTGTGCGCAATGGGGACTTACACAATTACAACACAAGAAGGCAACGAGATTCCTCTGTACCGGTATCTAAACACATAGTACTAGCGGTATACCAAAAGTTATTGCATTTTGTACTGCTGTTCCTTGGAACCATTTAGACGATTTGGCCGGAAGAACACATGACATTTTCCGTGTGGGTAGATTTTAGAGGGGGTGGGGGTGATTAATTGTAAAATTTTTGAAAAAAACTAAATATAGCCTAGAGACGAGATCTGGGTGTCAATTTCGCATGATTTTAATCCGAGGAATCCAATGATGGCGCCATAAATGTATTCCGGATAGAAGAAGTCCATCAAAAGCCGCAATTTTTAGAAGATGGCAGACTTTTGGTCTGTCCCGCAGCGGGAGCTGTCCAGAGTAAGGGCTGCCTCCCATACCTGTGGCCGCTTGGACTACAGAATCTTTCATTATCTGACTTCAAGAGTCCATATCCATCCTTCAGAACTTGTAAAATTTCCCTTTACATGGTTTGCACAGCCCCAGATGTGACCAGCGACATACGCCATTCCCTTTATGTGGTCCTCCAATGCAGCGCGGGTTGGGGGAATTTTTTTTGTTTTTATTGATTAAATTCCATAAGCAATCAGAATAATATTACATTCTATGAGCTTATTGTCTGTCATTTTCAGGCGTGAGTAGAGGGACTCCCAGTGGAGTCAGTCCGCTATTGATCTACGAGATCTTTTGACCATTTCTTCTTAAGGCGTCTGGGCGGAGGATCTTCTGCGAGAGGTGTCACGAGCTCGTTGGGGTGAAGTTCCAATGTTGTTTGATGCTTCGCAGTATATTGATTGATTATCTCAATCACGTAGGGAATATTTAGGTCCGAGTGAAGAGTTTGGTTGGATACATACCAAGGAGCGGCTGTGATAATACGGAGGGTTTTTGATTGGAAGCGTTGAATAATATGTCGACTTGCACAGCCCCATAACTGACAACCGTAGGTCCAAATGGGCCGAATTATACACTTGTATATCAGTACTTTGTTGGCTAGTATTAACGACGACTTCCGTCCGATGAGCCAATATAACTTTCTCAACTTTAAGTCCATTTCTTTGCGTTTTTTTGATAATGTGAGTTTTCCACGTCAACCTGCTGTCTAGATGGAGTCCCAAGTATATGACTTCCTTGGACTGAGGAATGGGTATATTATGGAGAGTGACAGTTGGGCAGATTTCGTGTCTGGTCATAAATGTAATGTGTGTCGATTTACTTTCATTCACTTTGATTCTCCACTTAATTAGCCACTGTTCTAATTCGTTTAAGTGGAACTGTAAAGAAGCTGATGCTGCGAACGGGTTTTCATTAACATGTAAGTATCGCTGTATCATCAGCAAATGTGCCAATTTTCGTTTGTTCTGTTGTAGGTAGGTCGTAGGTGTATAGGAGGTATAGTATAGGCCCTAGTATACTACCTTGGGGCACACTTGCATTGATGTCTTTGTTTGGGATATTTCCTTGCCATGCTTAACTTGAAATGTTCTATGAGTAAGATATGAACTTATTAGTAAGTAATACTCATGGGGTAGCGTTTTCTTAAGTTTGTAAAGTAATCCTCTATGCCACACTCTGTCAAAGGCCTGTCGTACATCCAGGAAGACAGCAGTACAAAAGTTTTTGTTTTGAAAAGCAGTTTGAATTATATTCGTTAAACGTGGCATTTTTGAATAGTTCAGTGCTGCGGTCTAAATCCAAATTGGTGGTTAGGCAGCCATGTCCCTTGCAGATTTTCATTAATACGTCGTTAAGATTAATTTCCAGACAGCTTGTAATTTGTTTCGGAGTTTATTGTTAAGTTGATTGAATTTCCTCTTATCTTCAACACTGTGTGTGCGGTGCCATTGTGCCCTTGCTTTTCTTTTCTCCTTTACAATTTCCATGATTTCGTTAGGAATATTGGGGCTATGAATTTTAATGTTTTTTGGCTGGGGTGTAGCGGTCCAGCCCGCATTCTGTATCGTAGTTATGAAGTGGTTTGTAGCATATTCTAGGTCTTGTGTGGTTTTCAGGCTTAAATTACAGTCGAGGTGTTTCTCGATGTGCACTTTGAAGGTATCCCAATCCGTCTTCCTGTTACTGATCGATGGGCTGGGTGTTTTATAGATGATACTTGTGCTAATTGTGGCTATAATCGGAGAATGATCAGACGTAAGATCGTAATTTGAAGTAGCATCCATGTAATTAGCGGAAAGCCCTTTGGTGATGAAAAAGTCTAAAAGATCTGGAACTTTTCCTGGATCCGATGGCCAATAGGTAGGGCTCCCAGTAGATAGAAATTTATAATTGTTATCGGTAATAAGTTTAAGAAATTCTCTGCCTTTTGTTGTAGTTAAGCGGGATCCCCAATGGGTATGCTTGGCGTTAAAGTCTCCACCTGCTATAAATTTTTGGCCTAGCGTGTCAAAAAATGGCTGCAACATTTGGTGAGTCAATTTGTGTCTCGGAGGACAGTAAATGGCTGAAATTAGTAATGGAGTTGTGAGCTTTTCAACTTGGATTGTCGTGGCTTGTAAGAATTTTGTTTTGTAATCTGGTAGTTCCGAGTGAATAATAGAATTTCGAATAATTATAGCTGAACCGCCATGCGTAGTGCCATCAGGGTGTTCGGTGTGGTACACAGAATAGTAGGGTATTTTTATGTACGATGTGAAATGGCTTTCTGAGATAAGAAGAATGTCTATATGGTTAAGTTTGAGAAAATTGCCAGTTTCAAGGTGTTTATATTGCAAACCATTGGCATTCCATAATGCTATTCGAAGAAAGTTAGCCATTAGTGAGTTAATTTGGTTATGACGGTGCTTAACATGTTCAGGATTATACTATTTTGTTGAAGAAGCTGGTTAAATAAGTTCTTGAATTCATCAAGGAATTTTTGAAGTGTCAAGTCTTGGATTGGGTAGGGATGGTTTGAGGCAATATGGGCGTAACTTAGATTAGATGGATGGGGTTGATTAGGGAGTTGTTGAGTAGGTTCTTGTCGGTTCAGGTTTGGAAAATTTCGTTCTGTTAGTTGAATTGGAAAGGGTCTTCGAGTTGTTAATTGATTATTTGGTTGGTATTTTTTTTTGAAGTTCTTGATATACTAAGCACCCCTTGTAGTTGGCCGGGTGATCTCCCTCGCATAGTGCGCATGTGGCTTTGTGTCCCTGGTTTTAGCACAAGTCATAGTATTGTGGGGTCCCCCACATTTTACGAAAATTTGACAATTTCTGGAAGGTAACGCTGGGCTATCTAGACAGCACAGAGAACTCTTAAACTCGTATAATAACGCTCAACATTTAAACCTTTTTAATTAGTTGTCCGGCTCCCTGACATCCTAAAAATCTGGAACATGACTTATACAGCTTGTTAATTTAGCGCGCTTCCAATGACACTACACAACCTAATCAGACGCCGCCGTTTGCCTAATTAGTTACCGGTAATTATGCGTACTTAATTTTCTACACTCGGAATTCCAATAATATCCATTGTTACTTGCAATATTCAGCTCAAGCGAAAAAGGTGTGCGTTATCTACGTTGTACAGCGACCTTGCAAATTTAATCCTAATTTTAAATTAGCACCGCGAAACTAAAATCGGCTAATAATTAATAAACGGGACCGAAATCACAAAATATTAATTTTCTCTCGTCTTCCAAATGACGAGAGCTTTCGGATGCTGCAACAATAATTAAAATATCCCCACGGGGACAGTTATGATCCACAGAACAAACATAACTGATCTAGAATGAAGAGCGAGAAAGGACAGAAGCGAAAGTGGGAAAGACGGCGCATGGAAGGTAGAGGAAGACGCAAAAATGGAATAAAGAATGGAAAACTGGTAGAAGTGTAACCCAGACTTCCGTATGCACGGAAATTTGTACAGGAATTTTTTAATTGTTAAGAATACGTAATCTATATTTAGGTATGAATGTAATCGTGAGCGAAAGCGAATATGTGTGTTTTTGAATTGCAAGGAAATATCTGGTTCAATTACAACTATCCCAGTTGGTACATTATGTAACCGTGAGGAAGCTAAAAGAGAATTCGCGATATAAAGTTATATTGCGATTAGAAATACGATTTTATTTCACATGTAAATAGAATAGTATCATAAATGATGCTTTACGTATGCATATTCGAAATTAGGCAACTGAAGTATGAGTCTGTTCGTGTAGTCCGTGACCGGTCCGTGCAAAGCCCACTTGAAAAGTCAATTTCCTTCCCTAGCACCGTTCCTTCCGTTCCCATCCCTAACTTTACCTATCCTTACATTCCAGTCCTCTGGCTGAAAAGGCTCTGGCAAGCCTGATCAGCCCGCCTCCGGCGTCCCTGTATTCAAGGATGTCGGAGGAATGAAACACGACGACCTTTCCCAGATCGAATGAACGAGAAGCCACGTCTAAATTTTGGTCGGTCCGTGTGCGTCCAACTACATCCAAGTTCTGGTGCGGAACCAGACCATTTTATATTGAAGCATCCCGTCAATTTCACATACGATTATAAAATTTTTTCGACCAATGTGAAATATGATTTTTGTGAATGAATGTGATTTAACCATTTGCCTTACAGGATCATTCCGCCTCAACCTCATTTATTAAAATGTGTTCTGTTACAGCAAAGGCGATATTGTCCAACTTTAGTTTTAGTGAGTGTGTAAAGACATTGTTCAATACAAACCTAACCTATTCATCAGCAGTTTTTTCGTACAGATGAGGAAGATGTGACAGTATGTTACTTTTTTGTGAAAATGCTCGCGTCTTGATTTTTATGACTTGAAATATGGTCTATCGCTGAAGTAATGCATTGATTTCTTTTGGTTTATGGGAATAAGCTCCACCCAAGAACGTTTCTGTATCCCAGCGTGAACATCTGTTGTCACTAATGCTGATGATGTGAATGCAATAGAGAAACATAACCGGCATTTCTCTTCCATGAGATTAAAGCACCAAAAGTATTGACCTGAAAATTGAAGTTGGCACGGAAAACAAGTACCTGGTGTCTCAAAAATGGTTACACAATCAAACATTAACGATGAGCACATAACAATCCGTAAGTACTAACTTCACACACCTTCGACCAACAATAAGAAACTAAATAAATGAGGTACTAAATAATCCAAAGTTATTTTTCAGTCGTCATTTCAGTCGATGTCAAGATTTCTAAACGAACCGTCCAATCCAAACAATCCATCTGGGATTGGTTTTTTTGCACGCTTACTTTCATCCGATCGAAATTCGTAGTCTTGCATAAACCAATCTCGATAACTTTCCACTTTAAGTTTCCATTCGACTGCCAAAGAAAAGAACAATTATAGTTTTAGTTTTGAAACGACATACCGATTAGGTCAGTTATTTTTCCGCCAGTTCCTCCATAGTCCATAGGAAGGATTGAGGAAGGTATCACCTCATCAAAACTTTCGTCTGTATGCACATACACCTATCAATGCACATGTTTGGCAGTGTAATCTGGGATTGTTTTATTTACCTTTTTAACAGTTTTTTCCGATATGAACGGTTTCACTAGATCGAAAGCCTTTGCAAAAAGGTCGGGTGCGTTTATAATGTGAAACGAGTTCGCTTTCACCGGATACGCAGACTTCAGAAAGGTGAGCGCATCCTTTATGACGGTGGGAGTGACCATTTGAATATGCTTGAGCGACAACTCTTTATGGTCCTCGAGAACTTTGCTGCCGGATATGATAAAGTTGTCATCTTCGTTCATCAGAATTTCGAACGTCATAAGAATCAACTTAAATCCATCGTTCACTCTGTGCTCTGTTGCTCTTTTCAGCATTCGAATCAAAATTGTACGCGGCGCGGCCGGATCGTCTTCCTTGCGTAGCGGCAAGATGCAGCTAAAATTACTATGAAGTAGGAGACTCGTGGAGCAAAATGTTGTAGATACCCCATGCTTAACAAATCCTGCAATTCTGGTAGGAAGGGATCGCGGTTCTTGAACAATTCTGGCGCCATTGTTTTCATAGTGCACAGTAGATCAATCCGCATTTTGGTGCGCTCCAAACTAAATTTACAGCAACGTAATAGAGTCAGCAACCACTGGTCATCTGTAAATGTCGTAATTAATCTGCCACGAACCACAATCAGTACTTTTTTTTACTCTACCCAGTTTCACTTTTAAATGGGGCTGTTTAAAAGCCCAATCTCGTAGTCGATCCAAACAATCACTTATATTAGTAGGGTTCTCGTTCAATTGCTGTATGGCAACATTTTGTAGTTCAGCACAAAGTACTCGCACCATTTTATAAATCTAAACGGAACAAGCAGTAACAAACTAAAGGATTAAGAGAAAGTGTTCTCTGTTCTAGTTCTACTTTATATAGACGTCTGGACTGTTATTAAAATAAAAACAATTTATAATTTATGTAGTCTAATTAGCTATAAATGTATAATACTACCGAGTTTTATTGTACGTCTAAATTACTAGTGGTTTATTAATATATCAAAATATATTACCACATTTTCCTATAATAAATAACAATAAATGAGTGTTTAAGTATAAATATGATGAATGTTCGTTAGCTGAACTAATGTTTATACTTATATTATGTTTTTTATTTATTTATATTGTGTGTTTTTATTAAGTAAAACGGAAATTTACCAGGACACGTAAATGTGATCTTAAAATTCAAGGGAAAAACCTTGTGACGTAGGTGCAGCTATAATCATCTCTGTTGGTAGGTATTTGTTTGACTATGTTTGTCTGTCTTTAATATGCGGATAGAGTATTGCCCCAAGAACGTCACTTTGTATATTTTGCGCTTAGTAGGCAGCCTATGATTAAGGAGGGGGGGGGGGGGCTATAACCCCAGGCTCCGCTCCTTAAGGGCTCCAGTCTAAGGATGTCCTATTCATGATATATACAGATTAAATTAATATCAAGCTAAATTTGGCGTTTGTTGAAATTATAACCTATTTTGTATAGGAATCGGGTCCCTCTGCCCTGGCCTACAGAAACCATAATCCGACCCTGTTAGTAGGTACCTAAAGATCTTTTAAATCAGAATTCTTATTCTTCACAATCATTGTAAATTTATTTCTAAGATTATTTACGTATTTTTATTAAAAATTGCCCGCATAATTTGCACTTCTTCATAAGCCATGCCGTGAACCAAGAAATGATAGTAAAATTTGTGTTAAAGTAAACACAAGTATAACATAATTTATTATGCGATTTTTCAACATATGGTGACATACCCCTAAGCTTAGGCCACACACCTTACATCTAAAAGAATAACGATGTGGAGAAAATACCAAACGCCCTGTATACTACGATCGTGATAAGTCCTCAACCTCGCCCATTCTGCACGGATGCCGAAGAACAAGGATTTTCGCGACGAAGCTTCGCAGGAAGTTAGCGTCGGTCACTAGACTTCGATGGCTTCAGAAGTGTGCACGCGTACCGGGTTTTCTCAATCTTTGTTTTGTTTGTTATGATTGAAAAGTGTAATTACAGGTAGTAAATAATTATTTGGTTCTGTCTCGTAGTAACCATCAATCTTTGAATTTTATGTCACCATTTGTTTATTATTTACATTAAATAATATATATGTTACGGTAAGGGTACATAATGTGGTAATTGTATACAATTACCTGTAATTGTATACATTTACCGGAGTCTTTGGTAAAAGTAGAAAATAATCTTTAAAAAAACCCTATTTCCTACCTTTACCGGTAATTGTATACAATCGCCAGAGGAGCTTGGTGAAAGTAAAAAATTCAAATTTCAAGAATCGACACGCAAGCGCAGTGAGTTTGTTTACCACGTGCATGTGTGATCCTATTATTAGTCTGCAATGTTGATTCTTCGGAAGTGTTTGTATCTGTTCTGCCATACAAAATTTGCCTCTTGTTATTGATTCAGGCAAAAAACCTCTTGTTTTTAGGTTAAAAAAAACAATAATAATAAAAATTACACTTCTTAAAAAACTATTTGAATTTATTGTTTTTATTTCTTCTTCTGATATCATTTTCTTACTTTTACCGCTGGTCCTTGGTTATTGTATACAATTACCGGTAAAAGTACATAATTGAGAATAATTTCGTACATTTACCAGTGACTTTGGTGATTGTATACAATTAAGTACTTTTACCGTAACATATACATAAAAAAATGCTGATATTTGTTTATTGAAGCATGGCGTACTCTAAAGTTTTATTTATTTTATTTATTTTTGGCCTGATTTTTGAGTGTTACATTACATTTACACAAGTGTATTAAATTTTTAATACCTATATCATGATCACGTTTGCAACCTAATTAAATATCAGGAATTCGTAATTATTGAACCACCTGGTACAAATTCCTATTCAAAACAAATTTAGACACCTTCAGGATGCTAAACTCAAAACCCACACAAAAGACTGGCATTGCTGAAAGTGAAATTCTAATTTTACAGTTAGGTAATGAAAAAAAAAGAAGAAATTATCAATATCTAGATACGCTTATCATTTACAAACAATACACAAATTTGTAAACCAAACTCTTCAATACTATAAAAATGACTTCAAATGCGAATTCCTTATGCAAAATCCCCAAAAACGAACGATTCCTATTTTTATACAATACACAAATTCAAAGGAACTGACTTCTATCGATGCGTTGAAATTTTCTCCAGTTATCGATCGAATTTCTTCTTTAGACGGTAGCGGCAATTTGGAAAATTGAATGGTGAAACGCCTTAGGCAATTCGCGATTCAGTTAACAGTGAGACCTCTAGTGGCAGCACATGGTAATTAATATTAATAAAACTCACCAAGAGTAATCAATATTGTAGTTTTTACAGCTGTAAAAGTAAATACACTTGCAAATATTTCATTCGCAATCAATGTTATCACACTTTAAAGAGCAAGGACAGCTTAAAACGCGTTATTGCGTTACTTTCAAGAATTTATTTTAAATGTCATCAATGTAATTATGCAACCAACAAGAGTATATACTTTAAGAAACGTCGTCTCACGCGTAACAATTCCACTATCTTTAATTGTGAACAGTGCAATTGGCCAATTGCACACCAAAAAATAGGAGATATTCTTTAACACACTGGCACCCCGCTTTGAATAACGCTATCAGTGTAATTACCTTACAATTAAGCGTTCGCTTAAACGTCACCAATTAACCGACACAACCTTCTCCAACATTTGATTTGTGAACCGTGTAGTTGAGGTACTCATGATAAGCATAACTCAAAACGGCATAAACGGCATATTCACATTGAATAATATTTCGAATAAAAAGGTAAATTTATTAAAGCACGACACAGTGAAAAATTCCGGTTCTTTAATTTGTTGCCCGTGTAATTATGCCACGAATATTAAGGCTCTTTTAAAACATAATCGACATAAGGGAATGTCGGCGAGTTGTTGTACGAAGCCTATCTATTTCGATATTCCCAATGTTAACAGTGGTGTGCCCCTAAGGAGATTTACCGTACTTGTTAACATACGGAGACTGGGCTATAAGTGGAATTCATAGATATTACTTAAGACTATTAATCTGACGATTGCGTTTGTCTAATAATATCAATCGTGTAGCGATTTTTGGTCTGTTATCGCGCTGCCTATAGCCACGTCTCTGTAGCAGACCTATACTGTTCTGTTTTAAGAATGTGCGCCGAAATATGCAGCAGCTAATGTGACACTACTGTAAACGGATAAACGTTTCTCTCCTTTGTCATAACCTCCCTAAATGTGAGGTCACTTTTGACAACAAAATAACTGCAACAAAACGCGATACTTATTTAATAATACCTATAATGGTGGTATAATAAAAAGTGATAAAGTATTCATGGATATAGTTAAAGCATGCCATACGTTGCCCTGTCCTAAATTTTCTAATTTAAAGTTAGATATGCTATTCTACAAATTAATTTGTTTACATTTCCAAAATAAAAAGTTGCAGCTTGCAGAGTGTGAATTAATCAATATCTAATTTTTTGAAAGTTCCATCGGGGCAAAATATCTCCTCAAAGTGCGTTAGCTTCTGTGGACGAAGTTGCTCATTGGTAATGTAGTTCGGATCGGCAAGAAACCATTCCTTGTAACTTTCAACCTTGGTCTTCCATTCATCTAAAAGTGTATATTCGTGATAACCAAGTAAGCACAATCACCCCACCTGCTGCATCGCGAACCGTTCCGTTAGTTCCACCGTATTCTATTGGTAACAGCTCTTTGGACAAAATACTTGGCAGTGTTTCTGATGCGTCGCCGCTGAGAACACTGACCTAATTTTTTGAACAAAGGTTATGGCGTTCTAACTTAAACCTACAGCACATATACCCTTGGTTGCAGTTTAGAGGAAATAAATGGTTTAGCCAAAGCGTTGTACAGAGTTGCGAACACCGTTGGTGAACTAAAGCCAAAGATTCTGTCAATTCTCAATGGGTAGGCATCCTGAACACACGTAACGTATTTCCTGAGAATTGACGGCGTGTACTGCAAAAAGTAATCCAGTGGTAGGTCACTATGATCTACCAATAAACAAATTCCCGATATAACGAAATTGTCGTCTTCCTGCATTAATATGTCCACCGTCATAAAAAATACCTTTAGCATGTCAGCGAATGAAATGCCGTTCATTCTACCATTCTTCATAATGAACAATACAATTCTAGGACCTAAATAACTGTCCACCTTAGGTACAGGCACCACCGCCCTAAAAATTTTATTTCATCTTTGGAAGATTTTATATTTACTTGCCCTTACCCGGCCTTCAGTGCGTCCTGTACTGCAGGCGAAAATGGATTTCTATCGTCAAAGAACTCTGGTACAAATGATTTTATAGAATAGAAGTAATCGAGTTTCTCTTTTACCCGCTGAAGGTTCCATTTGCATCCACGAAAGAACGCAACCATTGTTTGATCGTCTAAAAACATAAATGTGTCTATTAGGTACTCAGTACTAGAGGCTTGGGAGTACCTTCTCTGACGTTTAAATGTGGTTGTTTTTTCAGCCATTCTCTAATATTCTCTAGTGCATCATGTTGCTTGCCTGGTTCTTCATTAAGCTCTTTAACTGCTTTTTCCTGCAATTCCGTTGAAAGTGGTCTTATGGGCATTTTTCTGAAAACGAGAACATACCAACAAATTAAAAATCAGTGTTTATTCTCGCGAAATACCTTTTAAAAGAAATTGTTCACACAGTGTCAAATAAATCGGGAGCGTTAGAGTAGACCCACTGCCACGATCAAATAGGTTATGCGAAATTGTCACACGATTTGCATGGGGTTAAGATTGATTCTTTCCACAAACAATTTTTGAGAATATCCTCTTCCGACACTACGTTATACAGGGTGTTCC